GTAAAAGCAAGACCTTTCCCCATGTCCCCCCCCGGGGGGGGCTCGCTGCAGCCCCGATGGTTTTTTTTTTTGTGGAAGGGAATCCTTTTTGAGGAACTGGAGTCAACCGCACTGTATATATGAGATATAAATACATAGGGAAGCGTAGGATAAAGATAGATAGGTATGCAGAAGTCCAGTAGATTTGCATGTTGGGAGGGGGGGGGATGTTTGTCTCTAGGGGAGAGTATTTAGAGCTGTGATGGAGGTGGGGGGGGGGGATTTTGATGGGCAAAGCCGGGCAGGGATGGGGAAATTTGGGAATGGACAGGCAGAGCGTGTCCTGCGCTGCATCCCTGCTGCACACAACCAGGTCACTTGGGGTTTTTTTATTAGTAATAGTATTATTATTCCCCCCCAGGATTTTTATTTATTTATTTATTACTTTGTTCATGGTGTGTGACTCACCCCTGGGCTGGGATGAGGAGTGTGACGGGGTCCTCTCCCTCTGCACGTGGGGCATGACACGGGGAAAGAGACACGTCACTTGGCCTCATCCCTGGTGCAATCCTTTACAGAAAAAGCACCTTCCCTGAAGTCCCTCTAGATGCTGCTCGACGGTTACTCATGGGGAAAGCAAAGCTTTTTTTTGCTTTCTCATCCGTTCTTCCCAGCAGAGCGTGAGTCAGAAGGGGATGAGGCAGGGACAGGGCTAAATTTGTCCCTTGGGCTGAGGAAGGCGGCGCTGGCCGTGCCAGCCGGTCCCAGCAGTGGCTCCTCGGCGGGACAAGATGTTCTTCACAGCAGCTTTTTTTCTTTTTTTTCCTTTTTTTTTTTTTTTTTTTTTTTAAACCTCATTAGCAGCACTTTTAGGATCTTGAAGCATAGAGGGGATTCGGTCAGTGATGACGCCGGAGCCGGTGCTGGCAAAGCATCCCCACGGCTCCAGGCACGGGGGTGGCAAAATTCAGGCTGGATGCCCACCACTCTCCAGGAGCCCATCCCCGTGCCGTCTGGGCACGGGGTAAGGCTTAAAGAAAACAGGATGTTTACTCCCGTTTCCCCCCTTCAGCTTAGGTTTGTTTTTTTGGTGGTTGGTTTTTTTTTTCCCTTTTGATGGATATCTTTACTCCTTTCTGCCCGGAGGGAAGCAAAATGTGTTCCTATTAGAGGTGACTGCAGAAATCTGGGAAATCTCAGGGAAGGACCTGAGGCTGAGGAAGCAGCGATGGCACCTCTGATTTGTGCCAGCAAAACCCAGAAACTGAGCGTTGAACTTCATTTCCATCGGTCTGTACATCCCCCGGTGGTCGGGGCTGCTGGTTTCTGGGAGGTGGGAGCCTTGTCCCCCTCCCCTGGTGCTGTGTTTCTCCGTTTTTTTCCCCATTTCTTTGTGTTTTGACCCGGGTTTGTGCCGTCTAAGCTGTTCCTCGTCGTGTGTGTGGCAGGAGGTGACTTCCTCGGCGATGCTGGGTGACCTGGGGACATCGTGTGGCCCCCGGCCCCCAGGGCTCTGCCTGTCTTTTGATACGTGCATGGATGGATGAAGGACCCTAGGGAGGGCTGGGGGGGGAAGAGAAATTTGGGGCAGAGGGGCTGGTCCAGGCTGAGGGGGTTGGGATGTCGAAAGCATGCTCTTTAATGGTAGCTAAGGATTTTTATACTGGTTGCAGTGGGGCGGGAGATATGGTATGGAGGGGCTGGCACCCCCCGAGGAGGAGAGTTAGCCCAATTTTTTTTTTTTGCTTCACCATCGAAATGACAATTTCTCTCCCAGGGGAGCTTTTATTCTTGTTCTCCTGAGGCTACAGGGGACCCCGGAGGGCTGTGAAAGTGGGGTGCCCACCTTCCCAGGACAAGGTGGTCCTGTGGTCTGAAAGCTCCTCTGAATTTCCACCCCCTCCCCCCCCCCAGCACTTATATTTAGGAAAAATAAAAAAAAGAGAGAGACTTTGAGAAATGAGCCCCAGTATCTCTATCTAAAGAAACGATATTGGTGTATTGAAACTGCATTGTATATAAAATTAAACAAATATATATTTACTTTCTATTTTAGAAGGGGGGGGGGG